AAGCAGGTTTGCATTTTCGAGGTTTGTGAAGATATTATCTTCCTCCTCTTTTGGCCTATTTTGCATCCCTACTCTCCTGTGCGAAGATCACACACAAAATGCTCCTGCTCCTGGCTTCTAAAGAGGATTGCTTTGAAACCCCAACAACGTTCCACCGCTTACAGAGCTCCAACATTCCGAGCAACAGTACTGATTTTAACCCTTTCCTGCCGGCAAAATTTGTACCGTTAACATTTTTTCATTTAAAGGAGGAATTCACGATTAGAATGAAGGTCGAAGAAAGGGAATTGACCTAGTTGAGGGACCCACGGACCTCCTGAGGGTGCGAACTGACGCGCAATTCGCATGAAAAATTTGACCTCGGCGACCTATCATGCCTCAAAGTTGGCGGGTCCGGCGATCTCCGCCCACCGATCATCTGATCACTCGCCGCAGTCTATACGTGGCGAGTGATTAGATAGCAGAGAGAGCGTAGTGTTGAAGAGGGCACAGCGATGAGAGTCGCATCAATGCTCAAATCAACGGGCAAGGAAGGGGTCCCATTTCTCGGGTTCTGGGCCGTTTCTCATGGTTCTTCCTTCTTTCGTGTACCACTCACCATCCCTAGGTTAATTTGAAATGGGTTGCTTTTTCATCGTGAATTCGTCCTTTAAGTTAAAGCTGTGCATAAGCACAGACTCCTGCATTTGAAGTTTAGGGTCAAAATCAACGGACTTCCTGAACGACCCAATGCAATGAATGTGATGGGTTGCATACCCGTTACCCCTACCTATCAGATCCGTGAAGTTATCCTCAAAACATCATCTAGAATTCGTATCAAATCACCTTTTTTCCAACAGCTGGAACCGTAGACATATTATTTGTCATTTTCTTTGACGGATTGGTTCGGAGCATACAGATTTTCCAGATAATGATAGTGTCGACACAAGCCACTACAGCCACGCAGACTGCCTTAAATTCATGATGACATTTCGAACAACATAATAATGAAGAAAAAAATTGTAATGACGTAAGCAACATTCCGCGGTCAGGAGGCAAGCGGCCGCTAGGAGGCCAAAGAAGAGGTGGATAGACGTGATAAAGAAGGATCTAACAGGGGAGATCGCTCGAGGTGTGTCAAGCTTTTTCAAATGGTTTTTCTTACATGACATTGGGGCGCATGTGGGAACCACATAACCATGGTCCGTTTTCCTGTACGGCACTCTGAATACCAGAAAATGGGGTCCCCTACGTTGGCTGCTCGTGTCGACAAATTTTTTCGCAAATCCAGTTCGCGCTTTCAAAAACGCCCTCGCGCAAAGTCGAGTCAGCATCGCATCAATTAAGTCCATACTTCATACCATTGGGCGGCAGTGGTTGTAGTGAGCATCTGCACGCCTCCCACGGACGATCTGGGATCAAATAGCGGATCGTGAGTCGCCCAGGAAAACCAAGCCTTCCATCCCTCCGGGGTCAGTTAATTGGCACTAGTCTTGTCTGGGAGGTTAAAAACACTGACTTATACATCGGCTTGGCGCGCCTGCACAGAGCATTGTATGCGGCCCCATCAGGCCCAATATTCAGAACGCCCCCACCCGTAGGCACCAATCGTAAAAAATGACAGTGAATGCGTGCCCGCCGTCCCAACAAAGCAATGCTCAACCACGGCAACCACCTCGACATTTATCCACTCTCCCATCCAAATACACACCACAAATACTATTTAGCGAACACCGTCGACCCCTCTCTAACCAACACTCTTGATTCACGAAAACTGAGGTGCCGCCACACGCTTGTAGCAATCACCACTGGCGCACCCAACCCCCACACCACGCGCCCCGAGTTATACATGTAACATCAGACACAACCCAGCCCATTACTGTTTAAAGCAACAGTCCAGGCAGGGTTTCAACTACTTGGTCATTAGGCGGTCAAAACATGCCCCAGCCCAACTAAAGTTTATAGGAAATGTCTTTAATTTCAAAACCTACCTCTAAAATGCGCTGGAAGGGGTCGAAGTCCTCTTGGAGGGGGCGGATCACCCATAAAGAGGCGGATCGTCCCAACATACGCTGTGCAGAGTCCGCGCTTGACTAGCGATCGTTGCGGGACCGCCGCGCTGTATGAGGTCGATTCCATAAGAACGCAATTGAAGCGCTTCAATTTCGATTGCTGGCAAGTAGTTATGTATTTGCAAGCATGCAGCTATTTGCCAGCAGTTGCAATTAAAGCGCATGTACTACGGGCAGGTTCGGACAACTCGTCCAACACACGTCTCCCTAAACGGCAGGGCATGTCCCTGTCTAAGCCCCAGTTGGGCGTTTTCTTCACTTTTTCTCTTTACGTTCGACCACTTTTCACCTAAAACTTCCATATAGGTGCTTTTGGCCCGCAAATTCGTTCCTGGACTGTTGCTTTAACCCAGTTTTATATCAAAAATCTTTTTGTAGAGGTCACTTACGTCCCTAATCATGAATATGGTACTTGTTCATAGCTAACCAGCTTTTGGGAGATTCTGTAATCTCGAAATATCATTACGTGGGAGTCCAACTAAGAGAGCGACGCCCCTTTGATTATTCAGAGGGCCGTTCAGGAAAAATGGACTATAGTTCTGTAGTCCTCACATGTGCACCTATATCATGCAAGAAACCGTTCTGAAAAAGCTTAGCATACCCTGAACGACCTCCTTTGTAAAGTCATAGCCACAGCAGAAGATGCTCCGCCAGATCGAAGTGGCGCCGGCTGACAAAGACTGCGGACCCTACGAGTACGCGGGGCTAATGCTATGGAGAAGAGGAGAAGAAAGTGTCCAACAGTCTAACATAGAGTGAGAATTTGTTAAGTAAAAGCTCTGAACAACCATTACGGTTAGACTTGAAGATCTATTCATAATTTCATGAACCGTAAATAGCGCCCTTGCGGTATGAGATTTGCTGCAATCAATACTGTGTCATAACTAAAATTTGAAAAAAATAATGGAGGTACGTACACACCTGTAAAACGAGGTTAAGAGTCCAGTAAATATAGGTGTAAGGTTTACTCATGTCGAAGTTCCAATAATGACCTTGTGTCACGTAGGAATAGCCGCAGTACGGCGTGAGCATTGGAGCTGAAATGCGCATAGCTCTCGTTCTTTCTGTTCAATAAGGAGCCACTGGGTCTATTCCACTTAGGGCATCATGATTTTTCCTACGGGGAACTCCGAGTCCAGGGGGGAGTGTAGCCATTTTAGGGGTGGAGGTGAGGGCAGTCACTTGACATGCATAAAAGCTGGAATGTTCGAGTTCACAGTAGTTTGCCGAGAAGCAACATCATGATGCCCCCCCTGACTGGAATAAATCCGCCACTGCTCTCAGGATATAAAAGTCTGCATACCTGCAAAAAGGACTCCAATAATAACAATGGCGATGTTGATCATTTGCATGTGAATTGGCAAAAGTGTTCGGAAATTCGCTGGAGAAAACACTGCGATAAAATGAAGGACCGACAGCACCAGAAGAACGAATAGCTGACCAAACCATTGGCAACATAGTATCAGAACCGCAACGTATGTGAGCTCCGGAGCTGAAACATCCCATGATCATAAACCCTGCTCTGCGCTGTTCAGTGGTGAAAGTCCACTCAGAAGCAGCTTGGAAATGCGCGCCATTGCGCATGCAAAACCTTTTCTGGGCGACGTAGAAGACGGACGCGGACCGACAATCCAATTGTTAGCATGACAGAATTGCTATGCATGATAATCACTACATTAAAGGACGATTCCACGATAAGGTAGAAGGTCCAAGGGAGATTTGCAGGCGTACTCCTAAGGCAGCGGACAGATACGCACTTTGCAGCGAAGGATATGCTCTAGCTAGGCCGTCGACGCGGCACGCTCACCGACCGGCCAGCCTCGCCGCATAACTCTGGCCTTTATTGGGTGAAAAAAGAGACGGTTCGTTATCCTTGAAACAACAGGCCTTCCCCACTTTCAGTTTACTTTAGCGTTCAGCAGAGAGAGCGTCAGAGTGGAAAAGAACATTTCTGATGAGAATCGCTTTAAAGCCACAGTCCCGGTAGGATTCTTACCTTCAACACTAATGGTGTTGGAACGACAGTAAGCACGCTAAAATGAATGCACCCGGGAAAGCATTTGCTACTGCAAACGCTGACGCTGAAGGATTCTAACGGTACTGTTTCGCATTGTGAGGTGCGCCAGTCGTGGCGCAGCAGATACCTATTCCAACATCACCCCGTCCACAATTAGGGTCTGCTATACGGTTTACCTTGTCGTTCATTTCATAGCGGAAGCAACTTTCAGCACATTTCACATCTTAGATATTAAGCAATCAAGCTAAGTCATGAAGTTGTTCAAAAGAAACTAAGCAAGTGTGACTTTTCACGAGCTTCTGACGGATTTCTTTGCTTTTTTGACCGCTGGTGCACTACATAGCAGCTTCACTTCCATTCTAAACCCAACCAGACTTATTATACTCACTGCTTTGAATGTGATTGAAAGCTAGATGTGCTTTGTGTGCGACAGGCATTCCAAAAAGGTGAACTGGTTTTCAAATCAAATTTCAATGAATGCACCTTGAGTCGTTACACTGCGCCCACCTTCCCTGTCGAACAGATGCTGCTTATTGGCAGTGAAGTGTAATGTCAGGAACAGAGAATTTTCTCTTGGTCCTGATTTTTTTGGAGTGTGGTCAATTGGGGAGGGCGGATGGGAGGGGGAGAGAAAGACCGCACTGGTGATTTTTGGAAGGTGGTGAGGCCACTGTGTTTAAGTCACCTCTCAACCCTTCTCTCGCAAAAATCGCAAATGCGATCCTCCGCCCCCCCCCCCCTCCCAATGGGATGGGAACGTAGAGCAAAGCAATCAGAGCTAGCGGAGAATCTTCCTGTTTCGGATTCTTCATCGCAAACAAGCGTATTTGAGCAGTATTATGGCTCACCTTTGAAAACGTCGGTGTCCAAGGCAAAACTTGGCACATCATGAACAATGTTGATTATGTACACAGCAACATCCATAGCCATTGATAGAAGAATCGTCCATTAGCACGACGTTCGTTTCTCGACAAGCTTGACGCACATTTTTTAGGGGGCGACAAAAAAATAAAGTATGATCGGCTCATGATGAATCACTAGTGGTCGAGCAAGTTGATCACGTACAGGAACTGCAGCAATCGCTCTTCTTAAAGAGACTGTAAGTCAGCATCGAAGCAGAAAACACCGTGGAGTATTGGGGATAGAACGAGTAGATCAGCGAAGATAAAGAGCGTTTCATGACATTTTCGAAATGGAGGTGTTGCATAGGTATCAATACCTCTATCTGAGCTGCCACCTTGCATAATCATATGAATTATATACAGGGTGGGCAAAAATTACGGTAACAAGAGCGCTAACCAAAACATCTCGATTTCCTTCGAACCTAATAAATGCACCTGGTTGAAGAGACCCCGGAGAGAAATCACTAGACACAACAGCAAGGTAGACCGCTTGTGCACAAAGCAAATATTGTGCAACATTGGTTTTGCAGAATTTTCCGAATTCATGCCATTGAACGAGGGGCCACCTTATTTTCCCGTGTTAAAGCAAGTGGGTTATTTTCCGTGGAGTCTACTGAAGACGATGGGCTACTACGAGTATCACTAAAGCATCGACGAATTAAAGAAGATCCTAGGGTAAGCTCGATGTCACCTACCTACACAACAGGCCATATGCGTTCCCGAGATGACTTCATTCAGGTATAAACGCAAACAGCGGCCAGTCCAAGAAGTGATGTTGTATTCTGTCTGGTGACCTCCTATGAATACATTGTTGGGGTCCACGTGTGTCTTGCTGGCCGAATTGCTCTTCCATGAACACTTTATCCTGTTACCGTAATTTTTGCCCACCCTGTATTGTTTTACTAATTTCAAACTATTTGTTATTCCAAAGAAACAGCGTTTTGAGCGCAAAAAATCTTGGCAAACGGTTCCATCTTAACAAATTTTCTCGATGCTTCGCGGAGATATCAACTCGTTTCCACATACTTAGCCCTTTCTCCACACAAGAGTTTGAGTAAACACAAGACATTCAACTGGCAAGATCACAACGGCGAAGAACTCTTCCTTTCATTTCATGTGGAACATTAAGAAGTCGTCTAGAGAACGAATCATTGCGTGTGAAGTAGAACACCAGGACCTGCTGCTTTCAAATATCTTTGAACGATACCGGACCACTCATGAGCCCAAAAAACTCTGCCCACATGACAGCTGTCCCATGCTAAACATGGGCTGGACTATTAACAACCAGCTATGATTTTATGAGATCTCACGGGTGTACGAGAATTGTCTATGCTAGTTGAGAGCGGATCAGCCAGATTATCACTAGATTATTCATACACTTGCAATATTGCAAGCGGAGGTGGGGTGTGGTATGACATGGCGTGGTTAGTATTGCGAGCGATTTCGATTCAGGGATCGAAACTATTATTGGTCAGGCCTCCCACACCTTCAATCTTGCTTGGTTCTGTGAGTTCCTAACAGATTCGTTTGTGGAGGGCGAAAAATTTATCCATCGCCAGACGTCCATTACTTAAAGAGGCGGCTCACAGTCAAAATCCCCGATTCTGAATGGAAAATACGCGAACGCATATTCGAGGAACATACGTCAACACAAAATGGCTTATCATAGATGAAGTCGCTGTGCAAGGCCACAAGAAAATGTGCATTTCAAATCTTTCTTCCTTCCGGGCGCCTTCAAGAACCCTTTTGTTAACAGAGAAAATGATGAAACAAAATCGAAAATTATTTGAATGGTGATCAACGACACACGTGGATTTTCTCATTAACCTTTGTTTATGTATACGAAAAGGAAATGTCACAGAAACATGCCACAAAAAAAGTTCCATTACAATTGAAATTCACCTTGCGTGAGTAACTATTAGAGTTATGCGTATATGCCAACAAACCAATTACTATAAAAGGTGTTTTTCATTAGCGAACAATAACTGTGCAGGCTCAAGAACAGCGGTGATGAATCAAGGGGTTAAAAAGTAGGTTTGCTCAGAGTAACCGCAGGTCGCGTATAATTTTCAGCTTAAAAATCTGCAAGTCAAAAGAAAATGCGCTGACAAATTCATTTTCTAATATTCTCCTTGCATTCATCTCCCACTTAACATCGTTGAGACATCTGATGCTGCCCTCTCGGCCTATTACGAGTATGAAGACTGCTGTTTCTAAGTTCGTGTCATCCTGTGCAACGCTAGCTCCAGTTGGTAGGCTCCGCTTACGCACTTGATGACCCCTGTAAGGATACGAGATTCATTCCGCGTAACTTCTGGATGCTATAAGCTGGCGCAGGTGGTAGGTGGATTACAAACCCAGAGGTGCAACTATGCATGCGTTCAACTATTGAAGCGGTCCATAACTTCGAGGCCACCTTCCATCTAGGCCATGGAGCTTCCCAGAGAAGTCTCAGAGGCTTCGAGCATGACCGCTTTGGCCAACCTGAAAACATAACCAGCTCACTGGTGGCTCGTTTTCGTGGCTGAAACTCCAATTTATCTAGAAGCATTTCAGTACCCCTCTTTTTATTGAGTATATATAAGGGTCTTCCAGGCTGAGCAGAGGTTCAACAACGTGATGAATGTGGGCAACCAACCTCAACCACTGTGCACCGTTATTACACTATCCGGCATGGCTTTCTTATCAAAAGCGGACATGACATCAGAGTCAACCACTCCATGACCCTCACATCGAGGCTATTCGAGGTACTGTTGAGATGAAATATGAATCCTTCGGCCGCTATTATTAGAGCACAGAGCAGGATGGATGATTCAGGAAATCTCAAGAAATTGTGTTTGAATTCCAAGTGCGTTAACCTGCTCACATCATTCCTTCTATTGACTATCCAGCATGGTAACTTGTTATGAGAAGTGAGTAATGTGTAAGCAACCCTACAGGCTACAGTAGTCTAACCTATAGGCGTGAAAAATCCTACAGGCGAAAGTAGTCTCTGTCGCAACTGCTGCTATGAGAATTAAAGTGAGTCCACGTCAAGTGTTTTCGCATTTTCGGTCAAATTCGACACGAGGTATGCACCGAAAAACTTCACCTGCTAACGCCACAGAAATGCAGAAATCAGCTGTTAGGAGGTTGCAAGTTGAAAGAAAAGAAAAGCAATGTCTATTTTGCGGTAGTGTTCGACCGTACATGGCAAAGAAAATTGGTGAATACTTGAAGACTCGAATGGAGCTATTTCATTACCGGCTTACAACGTGGCCTTGTGTCAAAGGACAACCATTTGTTCTAGCTCACCCACTTCCTCGGAAGTAGCTTAGGATAACCAACACATTTCTGAAGTTACATTCAATCTCTTCTTCTAGTACAAAAGGTATGCATGCAGTGTAAGGAACAAATTTTCAATGGTAAAACTCCAGGGGAGGAGGTCTCTCCATTGTGCTCTCAAATACCAAGGAGAGGGATGAGAGTTTCAATGACTCGTGATCTTCATTTAAAAATAACTTTTGATAAAAATAGGTGTAGTGTGGAAGTGCTTCTGAGGTGTCTC